GTGGAGGTGGTGGTGGTGGTGGTGGTGGTGGTAGTTTTTGAATACAAAAATGGAACACCCTATCATATTTGTAGGTGGAAAGGAATTCTACATATTTGATACAAAATCCAAACTGTTAAGTTGCTTTGCTAATTCATCAGCTGCAACATCACACCTCTGGATTTAGCATTTCTTTGTATCTTGGATGGCCCCAATAAGAGGCAATTCCTTTCTTTAGCAACTTCGAGGATGCATGTCTGTGAAAACCATATAGAATCATCAGATAAAGAATCGGTTTTGTTTGTAGTTTCTAAAAAGGTTAGACCATATGAAAAGGGTATCTAGATTCCCATAAATTAAAAAAGAAATCAAGATAATATAGATAACCAGTCTTCGTTACAAAGTGTGGAACAAAGTGTCAAGCTTAAGCTTTACCATTATAGGCATTGGAATCGTTGTAGGATCCAATTGTCGCTGAGACACTAAGGCCTCATTTGTTTTTTTTTTAAGATTAAGACGTCTGAATCTAAATACACGTCTGAATATCAAAATGTGTATTAAGATTAAGACATTCGAATCTGAATACACATCTGAATATCAAGATGTGTATTAAGATCTGAATACTAAATAATTAAGACTGTTTGATTTTTAACATCTGAATGTATAAAATTTACGTTTATTTGAAAATTAATAAACATAAAATTCAAATAAAATACTAATTAATCTAATACTACATCACTAAAATATATAGCTTTTTAAAATATGATAGTTGTTGGTGGTGATGGCTAACGGTAGTGCTTGTGAATGCCGACTAAAAGCGGTGGTTGGTGGTAGTTTAGGGTAGTGGCTAGTAGTGATTAGTAGTGGTAGCTATTATGATTGAGGATGGTGGTGGTGGTGGTGATATTTAATAATGGCGGGTGGTGGTGGTCGTAGTTGTGATTGAGGAAGATGGTGGTGGGTGGTGGTAGTTTATAATGATGGACAATGCCAACTATGTTTGTTGATGGTGATGGGGTGATTAGTTGTGGCAATTGAGATGAATGAGTGTTGGTTATCGTTAATGATGGTGGTGGGAGTGGTGGGGATGGTGGGTGGTGGTAGTCGACAATGATGGCGGCTATGATTGAGGATGATGGTGGTGGTGGGTGGCATGGTGGTAGTTGATAATGGTAGGCGGTGACGACAGTTAATAATGAATATGGATGATAACGTCTTAATAAATTAAGTCTCTGTTATAGATCTTAATGATACAGACCTATTAAGTGGTTGTGAAGTAAAAAAAACAAACACACTTAACGATTAAGATTTGAATAATTAAGATTCAGACTTTGAAAATAAATGCACTTAATATCTAAAATCTGAATGATTAAGATTCAAACCTCCATTAAGTGCATTCCTTTGCAATATTAACCAATGACTTGCACATTTGGATCTGCTCTCTATCCATGCGTCGAAGCAACAAGTAGTATATGATATGACACGTGTTATTTGCACAAAAATTATCATTTAGGCATGATGAATTAATATGCATTTTTACATACGATATTCTTTTAATTATATTATATATTTTACATATTTTTATATTAAGACGTAATCTTTACGTAATCAACAATAATAATAACAAATCAAGTGAAATTTCGTAAATAATGTTTGCGGAGGGTAATGTATATACAGATCTTACCCTTATCTTATAAAGATAAAGACGTTGTCTCCGATAAATACTCGGCACAAGGAAAGATCTTTATATGATCATTCTCTTCTATTAAGATTGTAATACATTATTTTGTATCATTTCCTTGTTTGTTATGTAATCATAGTAAATGACATGATTTGATATATGGGTTGAATCTGGATAAATTCTGACGTTTATTTAATAATATTTTTCTTAGTCGGTTAGCTCCCTTTTATTTATTAAACATAGTGAAAGTGAATTTGCGACGAAGCAACATGTCATTGGTTAGGTTGTGCAGGAACGATTTCTTTCCTTGGTCTTTTTATGCTTTTGAATTAAATGGAAATGGGCTCTCTTCTTGTTGCCACTGTAAGTGGATGTCGACAGATCGTACGTACCAACTCAACCAACTCCAATAGCCAATTTAAAATGGAGGTAGTTTTGGACTGGCAGCAAAGTCAATTTCATAATCTATTCAAGGATTTTATACGCTGTATTAACGATTAAAATAACAAACTGCAAAAATTACTGAAAGAGAGCACACTTCTCTCGGAGAGAGTAAGTTACTGTGGTCTTTGGCGGCTCTGACAAACGGGAACAAATGATCAAAAACCAGCAAACTTAACAAACATCTTTTCCTGCTTATCCTTGTCAATCAATCGAAGAAAAAGTTGCCAAAACAATTAATTAATATGAGGGACATAACTAGCAATTATAATTGATGAACTCCTTTATTCTTCCTTCAAGTATTTTGTTTCCATCACTATGAAAAGCCAGCAAATATTACAATAGTCAGATTAGAACCAAAAAATGGAAGAATAACCCAAGGAGCAACGTACTGTGATATTGACAAAGAAGCATTTTTTTTATAAGTAATGACAAATGTTTTATAAATGGTAAACTCACACTCCAGTGCTATATAGGAAATTACAGAGACTGCAAACACCCTATCGGATCTCAATCATTGCATCTGCATCATGTACAATGCTGAGTTCGCACCAAAAAACTAACAAAGAAATGCATCTATGTTTTTTAAGGCCAAGTATGTTCCTATTTTTGCCTTAAGAAATTCTGTTGTTTCTTTCAATACATACACTCCACCAGATGGTGGTGAGGCATGCCTCCTTAGCCGCTGACCAAGTGGAAGAGGAAGCTCTCAATGGAGCTTTGTTGCAACAGATCTTCATGGCCATACACAATTGACGAAGATGCATTCCCCGAGTTTTTCCTAGAAGACATTTTAGTGGAAATCATATTTGACTCGTATGATGACTCCTAAAATTCACCACAGCCAATCCCACTGACATTGCTTAAAACGAAATAGGGCTACGCTGCAGCTAGAGACCCGACTTTTTCTGGTCACTGCCATTCACCTTGTAGATTTCCTGAAAAGTAGCAAGAAGCCAAGAATGCAGCATATAAGCAAATACTACACTGATTGGAAGCGCCAATTTAGAATTCAAAGCACAAAGAAATAGGGAACATACAGCAAGTGTAGCCTTTCTGAATGACCTGAAACATGATCGTTCTTTCGCAATAATAGAGGAGCAAATTGAACAGCAGGGTAGTCATTTTATTGTGATTAGCAGACACCCCTTGAATTGGCTGGCTAAAGATTCTTCTTCAGGTAACACCATCAGAAAAAGCAGATACAGATAGGCAGGAGTAAACACCAGACTTCTGACTCCAAGCCCTTTCAACCAAATAGGATCGTTCTTTCGCAATAATAGAGGAGCAAATTGAACCGCAGGGTAGTCATTTTATTGTGATTAGCAGACACCCCTTGATTTGGCTGGCTAAAGATTCTTCTTCAGGTAACACCATCAGAAAAAGCAGATACAGATAGGCAGGAGTAAACACCAGACTTCTGACTCCAAGCCCTTTCAACCAAATAGGACCTTGCTTTACCAATATCAGACATGATATTACTGACAATGCTAAGCAGGATAGAGTTACACTTTAACGTGGTTAGCAAAAACCAATTGATTTTGTTAGATCATCCACATGTTCAAGAGTTCAAGGTTTGTAACTGGTTCTATTTGTTCAGACTTCAGACCTCGTGGAAGAGCACAGATCTGCTGAATAAGAAAAGAACAAACTCAGTAAGAAACTCATGATTCTGCTAATGAATTCAGACAAATAATAACTCAACAATATAACAAGCTATATCTCGACTCACAGTAAATGCTTGAGTTCCTGCAAAAGTAAAACCATTTTTAGGATGCCATGTATGAACAAATTTAAAAAGTGAATTAAGAAGAGACTAATGCAACAGGTATGAAAGAAAATAGAGCTCTCCTCCAAAACCTGCCAAACAAGTAGGAAGTTAAAGCTATAAAAGTAGGTGAGCTTTAATGAGCTCACTGAAAAGAGTGTTCTTCATCTGATGGGGCAAGTTCCTGTAGGAAAGCAAACAAAGTACTATATTTCCACTGACTGGATTCCAATAAACCTCCCAAAGTTAATCACAGTAATTAGTAGGCGACTAAAGAAGTCCAGCAAGCCAATACAGGCATTTGACAACCCGAAAAAGAATAATACTTAAAAGTGACTAGACAGTAAAACCATATATAGTTAAGGTTATACAAATAGCTGCACTGCATATAGTTAAAGCCTCATGTGGCATCAACTTGAGCGCACATCAACATTTGTAGACATAATATTGTTACTCCTAAATAGTTACCATAGAGCTACAGTCCATAGGATTGTCCAATATAAGTGCCACCTACAAATGGCAAGACAACCAGGTCTGCCATGTAAATTATAAAATTGTTCTTATTCCTGTCCCGAAAGACAGGAAATTTTAAAACAGACGAAAGGAAGGAAATTTATTATATCTAGCTCATGTCCATTCCATCTCCAACTTGACTGCAAATGGGACTGACAGCAGTGAAAGATCTCTCAAATGGTGATGGATGGAAATGTGCATCCCTTCTGCGCTTAAAGGCACAGCTATCAGAAGGGGAACTTTCAGCATCAAACTTCCTCCGTACACCTTTCACAGCCTGCACTTCAGCTGATGTTAAAGGGAAAATCTGCTTGCTAACTCTGCAAAGAGAGTTATGATTATCATACACTATTCGCTGGTTACAGTTTTTGTCACAAATGTGTGTCAGCCCAGTTAGACGGCAGCGGTACATGTTCCCACAAACATGTTCATTTGCACATTTCCAATCGCATTTGTGAACAGGGTTTGGGCCATCTTGGCCAAGAATAGTCGACAGATATATAACATTTGTAGGCACTGCTACCATAGATTTTCCAAGTACCTCCATTCTTCAGTTGATCAGCAAACTTGAGTTTGAGAAGATATGCACACCCCACTTGCCTTGCCCCGATGCTCTGTAGACCCAACAAGTACGAGATCCGTCAAGATTGATGGGACGGTTATGGAATAAAATGATTTCAAAGGACTAAAACCATCTTAAATCTTTTCCTATTGAAAATCAACTCTAAGCAGACCTCAATTTAGAAAGAAATAGAAAAGCTTAGCATAAAATACTTGATCAACTGGCAGTTGCACCCAAAGGGGTGGCCTAATGGTCAATGAAGTGGGAGAGGAAACTTGAGGTCTCAAGTTCAAAACCCAACAGAGAGAAAAACAATAGGTGGTTTCTTCCTATCAGCCTAAGTATTGGTGAGCCAATTGTGGGAGGAAGCAGTTAACTGACAGAATAGTTGATGGCTGCAAACTGGCCCGAACACTACTGTCATAAAGAAAATAAAAAATGGAGGCCACGATAAAGGTCTTTGATTCAAAAGACATCATATTAACCCTCTCCACTTAAACATCTAGAGTAAATCTGAAGTGTTCTATTAACACTAAGTGCAAGAAATTGTTCGTTACATGTAATTTCATAAATTATCTGGTTAGGTGTGTATGACAAAAGTCATTTTTCACCTCCAAATTACACCTAAAATTAAGCTCCATTAAAAGATTGACAAAATAGGGCGTATAGGAACAGTAAAAAGTTTCCAATTCCATCAGCGTACAGATATTTATCTCCCACAAACATTTAGCAGAGAATAAACCAAATCTAACGAGGAATATCTCAAGATCTAGGACATAATTATAAATAAATAAATAAAACAGGTAGATATTGCAGCTACCTGATTCTGAGCTACTTCTACAACAAATTATTTATTAAAAAAAAACAGAAAATAGGAAAAAGAGGCCAAATCATGAAATTAAAGAGACCCGAGAAAGAACTTACGCAGTAACCGAAATGAAGACCACCTCCCAAAGCTATTCCTCCTACCCGAGCGCTCTCTCTCTCTCTCTCTCTCACACACACACACACACACAAAACACAGTTTCTCTCTCTCGGACTTTTTCAGAGTGAAGCAAAGGAATGGGAAGAAGTAGGAAGCGTATTTATAGAGTGAGGCGACACGGATAAGATGCTGTGATCCGATTCTCATGTGGACCGTTGGACGTAAATGTAAATGTACATGAAATTTCTGCGAAATGAAAATTTTATTTTGTCCTTTTCGACTTTTGTTATTGTTATTACGACGTCGTTTAATCTTTTTGAATGGCTTTGGCTTAATTGCGAGTGAGACGGAGGGTGCATCTTCCCGCTCCTTTGGACTCTTCTATAACCTTTATATTTTTCTTTTTTCCTTTTATCGTGGGGAGCTTTTGGTCAAGGTCGTCGTTTTGTAACGTTAAAATAGAGAAGGAAAAAAATAAAAAAATAAATAGACTTGAAAGACCTACCAGGTGTTGGCACGTGTCAATAACAGCGCTGTATTTGGGAAACGTGGCTTTCGTCTTTGTTAGAGCCGTTTACTTCTTCACTAACACCCGTTTTTGTCGTGCTTATTGGTTTGGTGGATCCGATAATTTGGGCTTCTATTCCACCAATTTATGGGCCAAAATTCTAACGTGCTTTTGTAAAGCCCAGGAGCGCTGGCAAAATACTAAACTGATTGCATAAAAGCGTATACAATATGTATCTTTGTTTGTATATTATACATACAAATAATATATAATTTATTTTCGGAGCAACTAAAAATATACATTTCTCGTTCTTAAATCATAATTACAGTCTCCATCCATTGAGTTGTATCATAGTAGTCCTCAAATTATAATAGTCAACTGATCATGTGAATTACAGACCTCACAGTATTTATCATGCAAGAAACTACCTATCGAAGTAGCTGAGATATCTTCGAGAAAAAAAAAAGATAAGATAACAAACAAAGGTTCAGGTTAAGGCTAGTTCACTTGGTGAGCTTTTTATATTTTACAATTGATATGAAAAGTTCAAACCGTGTAGCGTAATATCCCCCAACCCTCTTTCCACTCTCCCTTTTCCCAATGATGTAATAATTTTTTTATAACATAATAGTTAGTAATTTGCAAATAGAGAATTAATTCCCGTGCTTAAATTGTTTATGGTCCTTCCGTTTAACTTTTATATGTGAAAAGTATTTCCTCCTTCTTTCAAGTATATTTCCTAAATTGTTTCAAAAAACAAATTCTCTTTCTATCAAAAGTTGTAAATTAAAATAAAAAAGGTCCAACTTTTCTTATTTTATCCTAATCAATAAGTATTATCTTACAAACAAGTCGAAACATACCCGTAAAAATTTCTCAATTAATATAAATATACCGAAAAGTTTAAATTTTATAAAGCTCATTACGAACATATTCATCTCAATTAACCTAAATAACCGCTCACCAAATCTCTTAAACTAAAAATAGCCAGCAAATATATAATATATGTATTATTTATATATAATAGATGCATAACTATGTATAATCAATGTATAATTTATATATACCGACTAAATAAAATAACAGTGAATCTGACCGTCTATTTATATAATAATCCCTTAAAATAATCTGAGTTTTACAGCTAGGATATTATGAAGCATTTAAATTTTGAATATACTCGGTTGTTGTTAAATTTTGAATATACTTAATTTATTTATTTAATCTCCACTACGGAGCAGGGGGTATTTCGGAGATTCTTCCACAGGCCAGAAGTCAGAACCCTCCATTTCCGCCGCGCTCCGCCATCCCCATTTCACCTATAGAGCCAAAAAGGTAAGTTGGAGTACCGATCTTGGAATTCAGGTAGCTAGCCGTTTAAACAACAGTTGAAGTATTGTAATTTTACCTCTCATCAGAACCTGGTGGCAGGGCAGAGACAATCCGACGGTTCGGCCAAACTCAATAACTTTGATCCAAATCTTATTTTCGTCTTTAAGGAGTTTATTGAATATGCATAAGTTATTAATTTAGAACTCAGTAACTTAAAAGAAGTAGAATCTTCAATCCATAAGCTTCAAATCCGGTCTCCGCTTCTCCCTGATGGTTTTTTTTTGCTCTTTATTTATTTTACGCCTGCGATAACTCCTCTTTGGTGATTTTGGCAATATATGAAGTTTAGACACATATCGTATACCTGTTATCAACAAAATTAAGCAATAACACTTCAATTTAACCACTCTTTCTTGTCCATGTACTAAGTTTGGTGTCTAGCAGATATGCATTTATCTCCTGTTTTACTTGATAATGTATCTTCTTTTGGTTGTAACCCTCTTCTTGTTTGCAGCTTGTTTTACTAGCCAAAAATGATTCACTCTTGGTTCTTATGGTTGATTCTGGTTTAATTTGGTACTTCAGAATTTTAGTTTTGGTTGTTTTTGTAATTACTAGAGATGAATAAATATGCTTCGATAAGCTTGACAATATGTTAGGCTCCGCAAGGGGGTGGGGAGTAAACTAGAGTAATCAAATTTGTTCTATTTTGGTCAATAGTGCATTGTGTTAGTTCATTCTTTACCAGTGTTGGCTGATAAAGTGCAACGATATTTTGTTGTTTTTGAATGGTCCATACTGTCGAAGGTATAATTAAATAAATAAAAGTGTTTTCTGTCTAACAATTAGGCTTTTAGATGAAATAGTCACACATCTCCACATGGTATCAGAGTAGGCACAAATTGTTCGTATAAATCATGGACAGAATTATGATATCTTTCACTTGCACATATATATGTTTGTCATTGATTTGTTGTGGTGCCGAATGCCATTTACAGGTTTTAACGATGGGTATTTTAGTTACTAGGTTGAGTCTGTTTGGTGTATCCAATTGTAGTGGTTCATTTATATATTGTTGGCAGATCCCACTGGAACAATGTAGACTATGTAGTTGTACATATGTAGAATCCAATGATGAATGCTTATATTGCTGGTGCCAAACGACACTCCACCCAAAGTTGGATGTTTGATTTGAAATTGGTTTATGCGGATTCATCTTTTCCCCCTTGTTTTCTTATTCAAAGTATACAGTTCAACTTTGGAGCGTTTGATCCTGGAGTACAGGTTAGTTGGCTTACAAGTGCATAGTCCCTTCATTCGTTTTTTCTTTATTTTTTTCTTTCTTGATAAGTTGCATAGTATTTTCACCTCTTCATAAAAACAAAAAAAGAAAACATAGTCTTTTCATTCTTGTATATCTGATTTCAAAGACGTCAATCCTTCCTCTCTCTCTAGTTATTTTAAGGTGTAACGGCTGAAGTTAGAACTGAAGTCACTCTAATAGGATATGCACATTGATGCTTGAGGAGATCAAATTTTTTTGAGGTAACTGCTTATATTCCCTTCTTTTACTGGTCTGCCAGCATAAGCATTACTTCTCTCTATGCTTTAGCTTACTCTTAGCGAACATGGTATGCTAATGAATATTGGAATTTCTTAATGGGCTTTTGGTAATTTATGTTACAGGTCTCTAACATTTTGAGTCATGTTCCCTTCTTTTATGACTGCTGGATCATAACCAAAATACTTTTTCTTTCAAGAACGTTTGATCCCTCATTATCCGACCCCATATTTGAGTCTGTTGCTCTAGTTGTGTTACACAAATTAAATACTCAGGTTATAAGGATACCTTTGCCATTATATTTCCTAATATGATATGCATTTGCATATGCATTCAAAAAGCAGCATATGCATATATGCTCCGTGTACGTTAAGGTTCTATGCTGTGTTATTTTTTGCTATTATTGGTGACGCTTTGCCGATTGAAGGTAAGTTGAGTCATTTTAGGCCACTTGTTNGAATTTCTTGTTTCCTGCTAGTAGCCGGACGTTAGCTCTCTGCAGTTGTTAAGCTGTTTGCGCTGAATAATTTTTTCAAAAAAATTCCATCACTCAAGCACATCTATCAAGTTGGCCAACTACGTATTCAACAAGGTATTCTCTCTTTATACAAAAAATGCTAGTATAATAAGAAAGGGATCTTCACATCGTTTTTATTATTATGAAACGATCTTTTATTTCTTTCAGTCCATAAGCGCCAAAAGAGGCATTGTGGTGATATTTCCCAGGCTGCCTCCTTTCACTGTCGACCCTCTGTAATAACCAGCTCGTGATTACTTCCTTCATAGTCCTTGGTAACAACCAAAATATACTAAATAATACGAATACGATGGTCCACAGCTGACCAATTCTGGTACCATATATGCTAGAAATTTGTTTTTTTTTTTTTTTTTTTTTGCTTTTGGCTCCATTTTTTGGGAAAAAAATTGAGTGTTTTGCTTTAGTGTTATATAAGTACTTATATGCTTGTGTACTGACAATTATGAAACATGGTTCCTCTTCCTTCCTGCAGAGACTATAATTATGTCGTTGTATAAAGTTATTTTATTCTCTATGATGATCAATGTTTTCCTAACAACTATAAATTGTGCCCCGCAGTTTCGCCTCTGGTTTAATTGGAGCTGGGGAAGAATGCATTATGAAAAATCTTCAAGTCCAATTTGATCGACAAAATGATCTTGTGGGTTAGTAATTACAGTGGTCATGGAATTGATTTTCAATATTGACTATCATTCATTGTGCTGCTAAAGGTCCATGAAAAGACGACCCTTTAACCACCTGAATGGATCGTATCAATGTAATATCTATGATCTCTGTATTCATTGTTGCCATCTTGTCCGAGAGTGCAATTTTGTCTAAAATCTGGCCAGTGAAGAACTGATTTAGATCATCCTCCTCTGAGACAGGCTTCTGTTTTGGAAAAAACCAAATATTGGAATTGTTAAACTTGGCCCAAGTATAACATTTAAAATGAGCATGCTGCAGGTATCCATACCCATTTTGGCCTTTTTATTTGTCATTATAGCCATAAACTATTTGTCCGAGATATGTCATTTTTGAAAACTTAGCAATTAATTATTTTTTCTATTCCAAGCTTATTATTTCAAAAATATAATTATTAAGTTACACAGTTATAGAAGGGATAAGGATAATTTAGCAAATACCCTTTATGACTAATGCTATTAAATAATTTTTTTAACGGGTGAAACTTTTAAATGAGAAGTAGGGGTGTTCATAAAAATCCGAAAAATCGAACCAAACCAACCAAAAAAATTGATACTTTTTAAGTTTGGTTTGGTTTGGTTTTGGTTTTGAATTTTAAAAACCGATCAAATTTGGTTTGGTTTTGGTTTTAGTAAAAAAATAACTGAAAAAATCCGAACCAAACCGACTATAGAAGTAACTATTTAAATTTATTATTACACCTATATGTATGTATATTTTTATATAAAGTTTTTAAAATTTTATGGTACATATTAATCGTTTATATTTTAAGTCTAGTTTTTTGCTATTATAATAGTCTAATTCTTTGCCTTTACATTCTAGTTTTATTGGTAGCTTTCTTTTGCTAAGTACAAGAATTTATTTTATGTTAAAAATAATCGATTTTTAATTGAGTACTTAAATTATTCATCACTAGTTGATTCAATTATCATTAATATATCTTGGTAAATGATAGATTTCTTAAAGAGCAATTGGTTTGATAGTGTTACGTTAAAAATAGTCTCCGGAATGTGTTTGGTAGTGTAGTCTTATATTTAAGAAAAAATTCGATAAATAACCGAAAAAATCGGAAAACTAACTAAAACCGATAAAAATCGAATCGATAAAAACCCGACTTAATTGATTTGGTTTTATTTCAATATTTCAAGAACCGGCTTACTTGGTTTGGTTTTATTTTTTTTATTTTTTATTTTTGGGAAAAAACCATGAACCCCTAATGACACGTAAACATGACATGATGGAATAATGCGTAGTATTCTAGAATTGAACTTTGCTCAAAAGCAGTTTCCGTTAATGGGTTGGTGACGCTAAGAAGCAATTTATTAATGGGTGACTGCTAATTTCATGTGACCATTAATGACTCCGCTAAATGCAAAATGACGAAGGGCACCATTAGTTTACATTTAATTGTCTCTCGTCATTCATCAATTTTCAAAAGAGTCGGATAAAACCGCAGTATTGCATCTAACGCCACTGACACAAGAATTATTATTCACTCTTGATTAGTAATGTGTTAAAAGGGGAGCATTAAGAAAATAAAAGTTTAGACCGCAATAGCCAGTAGTCAATACTAAATTGCTTTAACAGAGAAAACTGGGGCTTCGCCATTCATTTAGGTTTAACAAATCTGGTGATTGATAGACGTGTGCATTAATTATCCCGAAAAGTATGAGCAATAATATAGCAATAAATAACAGTATATAACAATAAATGATATTTAAGTAAATAGGAGAAATGATTCACCCAATAAAGGATGAACTAGATGATTGTCCCTGACAATGATAAGTGACAGACAAATCCTAGAATGGTCAAATTATTCTCGGATCTGATGAAAAAGTATGGAATAATATGAACGAGAATCTTGATGAAAATGTAGTGTTTGTATTTTAGTGAGAGAGAGAATCTTTTATCAAAAGCTTGTTCTTATCAAATGAATGTCACTTGCCCCATATCATTGTCTATTTTTCTATTTATATGAGACATTTTTCTAATAAACCGTAATAGTACAAGTACAAAGAATATTCACTAGAATATTCTCTTTAATATCTTGTTTCGAAAACTAGCCGTTACAGCTTCGTCAACGGTGCTCGACCTCGACCATTATTGACATCTCGACCACGAATCTCGTTGCTTCCTAGTCGACTTCGACTGATGACGACTCGAGGACTCTTTCTTTAGTGTTATCTTATCTTAAATATTCTAGGGCAGATTTTGACCCATACAGTTAGTCCCTCTGATTATTAAGGCCAGCGTCGTGCGGGCTTGATGAGCGGATTCTGTTTACTGTGGTTGAAACGATTGGACAAGCTGACCGGGTCGTGATGATTGGGGCGAGTTGGTAGCGTGGCCCCTTGTGAACCGCCAACTTCGGAGTTGTGCGGTCCATGAATCAGGGTGACGTCATGACGTCGTGCGTCATTATGACGCATTTTTCTGATGCGTTGCTCCGTTTGCGTGCGTCTTTTGATTGGATCTGCCTCTTCGGTTACGGTGCTAGGTAATGATGAATCAATTTCTTGGTTTTGACGCTTGAATTTTTATAAATAAGAGTGTGTGGGTATAATTTCAACCTTTGCGATATGCTTGCACCAAAACTCTATACCTTCTTCTTCCTCCTCCATTGTTGTGCATTTTTTCTTCCTGTTCCAACGATCTCTATCGTTTTCGATTCTCCGTTGTTTGATACCTTCCTTTCTTTTGTTGAAAATATGTCTAACATACCTTCTGGGCCCAATGAGGGAAGTGATTCGGTCCTTCTGGCAATTCTCTTTCCTCCTCATGTGGAGAACGCTCCCACTGCCACAGAGACAGAGGCTTTCCGACTGTGGAAGAGATAGTTCCTCGCAACCCCGATGTCAATTCTAATTTCTCGAAATTGCATGAAGCCGAACCCGGAACCTTTAAATCAACGATGAAGGAGGCTGATTTGTCAGAGCTTAAAGCAAAGTACGACCTTCCTGACCACGTCAAATTGATCCCCGTGGGGTGGGATGCGGTGCAACACCACCGTCCTGGGTATTGCGCATTCTACGCCTACCCCTTTCACGTTAGCTACACTTTTTCTCTCCTCCTGCTGGTGGAGGAATTCTGTCGCTTCTACGGCATTTGCCCGGCTCAAGTTGCGCCGTATGTTTACAAGCTCATAAGGATGCTCACCAAGTTCGTTGAGTTGGCCAGGGTCGAGATCACACTTCGAATTCTGATGCACTTATTCGCCCCCAACTTTTACATGGGGACGATGCTGAATCTCTGGCTAACTGCCTCTTCTGGCTCAACTTCTTCTTTGTTAGAATTGAAGACGTGGTAGCTAACTTCGACGACTTACCTGAAGCTTGGAATTGCACTCGTAAGCGCCTCGCTCCCTTGCACGTAGGTATTTGGTTTACTTTGCTTAGTTGTGGATTCTGACCTCTCGTCCTATTCTTATGCAGCCAAGATCTCGCCTACCCCTTTGGTCGAGGACATTTTTAGTTGGGTCGGCCAGCTCCTCCCTCACATCGTGGGAATTCGCGAGTGGCCGGGCTTCTTCAAGAGGTTTGGGCCGGCTCCCCCCTCGACTAGTAAGTAGCCTTTGTCTTTGTTTTGTTGGTTATTTCGCTTGTGTAGTTGTTTTGGTGATCCTTTTGTGCTTCCCTTAATTTCAGCTAGGGGTACTCGAGGAGGTCGAGAGTTCCCGCACATGCGTTTTGTAAGAGAAAAGTTGCCGCCTCTTTAGCTCCTACCCCTTCTACGACCGCGGCTGATTTTGGTCGTTCCTCGGTCCCACATGCTGATACTTCTGCATCAACTCCTTCTTTATATGTGGAGACTTCGGCAGCGGAAGCTTCGTCTTCTCCCTTGTATCGTCTCATAGACGACGAGGAGGAGTCATTGCCAGGTGATGGGGACCTGATGCCCCATAAGAGGAGATCGGTGGACGTGGGCAACGGGGTTGCCCAGGCCGTTGACTCGATGATAGATGGCTTCACGCTTCATGAGACGGCAACTATTGTCATAGAAGACGATGTTGGGCCGACTTCTGAGTTTTCGAGGTCGGCAAGGGTGTATCTCTCCCTTCTGCGATAACGGAAACCGAAGGACCGACCGCTAGGAATTCTGATACTTCGCGGTAAAAGGGGCCGTCGACCTCGCAACTGGCTAATGATATTTATTCAACGGCCGATGGGAGAGGAAAAGGTGTTGCCGAAAACGGCTATGAGACGGGTTCAGACATTGACGCTGCAGAGTTGGGGATGATGGAGGAAGGGTTTACCCAGCTCGAGGTGAGGCTGGAGGGATCTACGCGAACCATTGCTCCGACATGGAGGGCGAAACCCTCAATGAGCTGGATAACGTTACCTTGTCGAGGAGCATAGACGACCTTGCTCTCAGGGTAAGTATTTTAGGGCTTCGTTTTTCTGTCTGTTATGTTTAAAAATTTTTGTTTAATGCTTTACCTTTGTTAGTGGGGGCGTTCTCATTTTTGTTTTTCTTCTTTTTCTTTCTTTTTATGACTACAGATCATGATCTTGGAGATTGAAAGCGCCGGAAGGGAGGAGAAGCATAAGGCAATATTTGCAAGGTTGCAACGCAAATATTTCGAGTACCACGACAAGTACCAGGAGTTTTGCAGGCGGTCTGGTGAGGGAGGAAATATGCAGACCCTTCGCGATGAATTTAAAGAGAAGGATGACGAATTGGTGAGAGTCATTGAGAAGTGCAGTGTCCTTGAGGGGACGTTGAGAAGTAAGTAGGAAGAGCTCAAGGTCAGCAGAACCGTAGAGGCCCAATGTGGTGACCTCCAGATGCAAGTGATCGAGTTGCGCATATATTTGGTAGAGTGCCGCCTATAGATGAAGGTCCTTCATAGCGAGGTTGCCGAGAAACAGAACGAGCTTGAGAAGGCGGAGTCTTGCCGTTTGGAGGCTCAGAGAAAGTCGGAGATGTTAGAGTTGGCAAATAGGACTCTCCGGGCCGAGCGAGAGATTTACCAATCTACGGCGAAGGCAAAAGAATATAGATTGGAGGAGAGGATCGAAGAGCTGGAAAAAGATAACTTCCTCCTCCAGGACCGGGTGGCCGCCTTAGAGGATGAAAAGGCTCAACTGCTCGCACAGTCGTCATCCTATCGCACTTCAAATTTCCCAAATGCTCCTCGATACCTGTACGAGGAATGGATTCATGCTGAAGCTTAGTTGGATGTGTTCCGCGATTTGTATAAGGTAGGGTCTGTTTTTGTGGCCGCCTTTGATGATGTTTGTGTTAAGGCCCGCGAGGCTCGGGTCGCCTGTGGATATGATCCTG